CCGCTCTGCCAAGGGCCTGACTTTAATTTTTACAACCCTTTCTTTTACAAATTAGGGTGCTGGACCGTCACGGGACCCGCGCCTCACCGCGCTCCCCCTGCAGCCCGTCACCCCTCCCCCTTTGGCCGCGGTTGCACTCCGGAGACGCTCCTCTTTAATTTCTTTAGCGCTACTTTGCAATGCGGAGGGGGTGGGGTGTGTGTGCGCGTGTGTGTGTGCGTGTGTGTGGGGGGATGGGGTGCAGGCTGGGGGGGAAAGTTGAGACCGGAGCGTTCCGAGTACTTTCTCTTTTCTCTGTGATCCATTCATTTCTCGCTCTACCTCCTGTTGCATAAAATGATGCGCTGAAGAGCGGCAGGTTTTTTATTTTTTTTTATTTCTTCCTGGATTTGGTTGTATAGTCGATGGTCCCAGTTTGATCGTCTCTTTGGAAATACAATATCGCTTTTTTTTTTTTTTTTTTTTTGCTATTGCTGCCTATTCCATCTTAAAACAAAAACAAAAACAAAAACAACACTGCCTCCTCCCATCCCACCCTCCTTTGCACCTTAATCCCACCCGCCCCCCACGATCCCACCCCCAAGCCCCCAGTCTCCAAAAATCCGATTGTGTTTCCTCCAAGGATTGGGACTGGATTTTCTGATTGCGGTTATTTCCATGTTTCTAGGTTTGTGTGATTTTGCTAAAATGCATCACCAACAGCGAATGGCTGCCTTAGGGACGGACAAAGAGCTGAGTGATTTACTGGATTTCAGTGCGGTAAGAAAGAACGGTGGAAACTAACAACAGCTGTGAAAAAAAACCAACCCCAACCAAACAGACCCAAATACTTTAGCTAGAAAAGGATTGTGATCTGAAGGACAGGAATCATGCTTAATTGGCTGAATCCCTGGTAAATATGAAGGTCTTTCTGACAAGTTTTTAACTCTGATTTTGGGGTGTGATGGACGATCCGAGCCTTTTCCGAGTCTTAATTACTTGCCCTGAATTCCCTACCCATTGACTCCTCCCCTCAAAATAATGGCATCTCACCCCGATGGAGAGGAAAACTAGACACCCTTAAAACTACACCACCCTAAAACCTGGCCATCTCTGGACACTGAGAGTACTAATACTTTGCGCACTACTCGTTTTTCTATGATTAATTTTTTGGAAATGGAAAATAGAAATTAGGAGACGCAGTTGTCTTTTTGAAGTTGTAAACTGCTGATGTTCCGGGTTGGAGGACCTGTAGTCCGAGTCGCCTCGTTTCTTGGGATTATTAAGCTCTCTGTATCTGCTGAGCATACGTTCTGTAGAGCCCTGTGGGCTGTTTTTTTGGAAATTTCAGAGTCGTGAGATCAGCACAGAGCAGAACTTACACACTTGTGGAGTTTTACGGCTGCTCTTAGTCCTCCATTGACTTCCCTTTCCCAAACCAAGTCCCGTCCATGTCAGGGGAATGAGTTCATTTTTAATGCCAGATCAGTTTGGTGTAAGATGCATTTGCAAAGCAAAATAAGAATCCACAAAACACACACGTAAAATCCAAACCGCCTTCTAAATGGGGCCCTTTCCTTGCTGCCGCCGCCGCCGCCTCTGCTGCTGCTGCCGCCGCCGCTGCTCTCCTAGACCTTCTTTTGGAGAAATGGCTTTCGGAAGTTTTGCCAGGAAACCTAGCCCCAGGCAGCTTTGCGGCTCCCTCCCTGCTTGCTGCACTTTCTCCATTCGTTCCTTTGCTTTTTGCAGGCTCTGACTCTGGGAAGGTGCGCATTATCAACTAGACACGTCGAAGAAGAGGGAAACCAATTAGGGTCGAAATAAATGCTGGAGAGAGAGGGAGTGAAAGAGAGAGAGTGAGTGAGAGAGTGAGAGGGAGAGGGAAGGAGAGAGACACAGACTTGCTTCACATTGCTCTCATGTTAGAGACGCAATGAGAATTTAGTGCAGGTGGCACTTTTATTTTTATTTGGGTTCACATATGACAGGCAGATCCTATACGGCATGGAAATGGACATTGCCACGTTCATGGCCAAGGCTTTCAATATAAAACAAACAACTTTTTCTTCTCCTTTGTCCAACTAATGTTCTTTGGAGAGGCTGGTGCCCTCTTCTCTGAATCTTGATAACATTATGGGATTCTGTTTGTTCAAAATGTAATAGTGGTGCCTGCCAAGCTAATGAACCTGGTGGAAAAAAAGAGTGGTAATGGGGGGGGTGGGTAATTGGTAATGTGCCTGTTTCAGTTTTAAGTTGGATGGTGATAAATTTTTCTAAATAAACCCTTTGACTTAAACTCTCTGAGTTATTTGCTAAGAGTGTGAAAGATATTTGAGGAGCTCTGAAGGCAGTAATATTTCTTTGTTTCTTTTAGATGTTTTCACCTCCTGTGAGCAGTGGGAAAAATGGACCAACTTCTTTGGCGAGTGGACATTTTACTGGCTCAAGTATGTAAATCCTTTTCTTAGTGTGTAGTTAAATGTTCTTAGCTGTTTATTCACTCTTCGTATATTTTTGGCTCTGTTGAAGTGTGCTGCAAAAGTCATTGAAATTTTAGCCTAATGATACGGTTAATTCATTATCCATCAGTACCATAAGCATAAGAAATGTTACCTTTTACAGAATTAGAATTTGGCCTTTTTTAAAAAAAAAAAAAAAATCAAAGAAAACTGTCTCAATTCCATCACTTAATTTGAAAGCAATTTTCTGATATAGTTGTAATCAAACACATGGAGATAAGGCCAGTGTGAACACATAGGAACTAAATTAATGCTTCCTATAGAAGAAGGGGTGGGGGTGGGGAGAGGAATCTAACTTTTACAAAAAGGGAAAATCCTTTCTAAATAATAACAATTATTAAGTACTATGTATAGTTTACCCTTATGAAGAAATGAGCACTTAATTTCGTCGATGAATGCTGCATACTAAAACCCAGCTGTAAACAGAGAGCCTCTGGCTAATCTGAGAGGCTAAGTATGGGTTCATTTATATTTAAAATCTGCGTTTTTTGATGAATTAACCTGTTTCTTTGCCCTAGTCATTTACTTGTGCAATAAATGTTTGCTAGACTTAAAGTTGCACATTTGGTAGGACTTTCCATTTCGTAAATTAAAGCTCTTTGGATGATGCTTAGAAGGACGTTAGTACTGGCCACAAAGGGCTCTCTGCACAGTGATTATCTGGCATCTGAGGAGCAGTTTTCATAGAGAACCGTTTCAGTGTTTGGGTAGCCCTGTTATGAAAAGTGAAAACTGAAAATAAGATATGTATTAGCAATATATTTATTTTTTGATCAGTGAATTACATGTAAGAAGGAGTCTTCCATTGTTACTTGCTGTCCTTCAGGTCCAGAGCTTAAATTCATTTATGCTGTTATACAGCTGCAGTATTTGAGGAGTTTTGGCAACGGTACATAACAGTACATTAAACAGCACTGCTCTTAAGTCAGACTGGTAAATGTTGACATCTTTTAGCTGTGAGATGCCAGTGGCATTATCTATTAGCTATCGAATAAAATTTCATTTCTCTTCATTTTCGTTGATGTTATAGCAGTGAAAGACATCTGTTCACCTATGTGATTTGTGCATTTGGTGTATTTTTATAAAATTAATGGTTTTAAAATATTACTCATTTCCAAATAAGCTATTTCTCCCTCTTCTGGTACTCAAAATTCTTAAGGGACTTTTTGTATCTGTAACTTGATTTATAAAACAGGAGATGCCTCTTAGGTTTTCTCTTATTATCGTTTCTTTGTCCACTTTGATTGAAAGCACTATTGACCATATATTTGTGTTGGGCTGCCCTGGACACTGTTAAGTTTTCCATATAGGAACAACAACAGAATTTTTTTTTTTATTGTGCTAGTATTACTGTCTAAATTTTTGTATTCTTTGCACAACTTTTAAGATAGGAAATATTAATATGCATGCTTGAAGCAGAGATGAGTACGCATGTCCGGGAGACAGATTCCTTTTTCATGTGAAACACTCTTCAAAACAGAAACTAACTATCTGTGACAGTAATTTTCTTCTTGATTTTGCTTAAGAAATGTGTAATTCCGTTGAAATCTCAAAGTAGCTTATTTCCGAGGTGCACTGCTTTCCGAGTCAGTGCAGAACACTCTTTGCCCTGTTACAAAAACTGACTCTTTTGAAATAAGCACATCTGTTTAGAAATGGTATAATAAAAGGTGCGTGAAACTGTGAGATATTTAAAAAGAGAACTGTACTTCTGATTCATTTTTTAAGTTCTTATTTAAATAAAGTCCTTAATGTGATGTTTTGAGTATTTACATAGTGTCCACTGTACAGTTAGCATATAGGCTGGATTAGCATGAATGAATTTTGGTAAGTGACTGCGTACTGAAACTTAGATACTTACAATTATTCTATATGTGCATGTGTAGTCAAACCTAGATATAGACCTCATCTTCAGTGAGACATGTTAAGATAATTCTAGTGAATATGCTGTGATTATTTTTAAGATGTTGAACTCTGAGTTACATTGTACAAGAGGTGTAGTTTTCAGGCCAACATGTTTACTTGTAAGGGTACAAAGTGTAGTGGTTGTTTTATTCTGGCTGTTGGGTTGAGAATGTACTGTTTGCATCTGATAGAGTGTGGGGGTGACTATTATATATAGGGCATCCTGGAGTGGTAGTTTTCTCTATTTTTTCAAAACGTGTCTGCACACAGGGCTATTAGTGAAAAAAATGACTTATGTTTCCACTCAGTACAAAAAGCATAACACATTTTTTAAAAATCAAAAAAATCACACTTCACCCTTTAACTAAAAAGAAAAATGAGGGAACTTTGGACAGAGAAATAATTTTCTAAATGCTCTTCAACTTGATATTCATTGTCCTCAGTGGACTCAGATGTCACTTGCATGGGTAGGTTTGGAACTTGGAGACAAGTGAAAAAGATTCAAACTCTAAGTAACCGTTCCCATTTGGAAAAACCAGCGCTTTTTTTTTTAACTCCCCTCCCCCATGAGGCATGGAAATATTTCATACTAAGGTTTCCCATAGTTTTTTATCCCATTAATATAGGATGCTCCATCGTGATTTGCCATGTGAGAATGAAAATAAAGTGTGGCTGAATTCCTTTAATCTTTCATTTTGCAAACATGGCTTTTCCTACCACCTTAAGAAAGAGTGAGGCTGCTGGGGGAATGGAATGTAACCTGAGCTTCAGCCTGACATTCCCAGGGAGCATTTTTCACATGAAAGGCTTTTGTCAACCCAGGAAAGGACCAGCAGTTTTTGTTTGATGTTTGCAGGTGTTCAGCAGAGAGCACTAAAACAGTTCGGCCATGATGGTTTCAGAGCTTCTATGACCTTAACGGGGAGAATTGGTGGGCTCGGGAGATTCTTTTTCAGAAATCATCTTAACCTGTGTGATACCTTCCACAAAGGGATTTGATAACCGTTACATCATTGATCTTAAAAGACGAACTGAAAGCATCCACATGTCTAGATGACTAGAAGACTACTCTCATTAAAAAGTAGGGTGGCTGTTACCGAGAAGGAAAAAAGGAAGTAAGCAGTCACTAATTTATTGATGTGTAGGGGCTTAATTTCCTGATACAACAAAAGTATGGCTTCTTTGGCTTCTTGTGAGCCATTTGCTTGCAGAAGGGAATATGCTATTTTAGACATCTTTTTTAAAAGTTTTAAAGTTTAGTCACTAAAGTGATCTGTACTCAAGAACTTGTGAGATCAAGCACTCGTCACATCTGTTCCATGTATTTACAGTAGTCTATGATGGATGCTCTATCTTCTTCCCTTAGTTAAAACTTGAGCTTTTTTCTTGTAACTGTTTAGCTTTACTTAGGTACTTAGCATTTGTTAAAGATGGCACAATGGGTGGGTGTCTGAACAATTAAGAGCAGCAGTAAAATACACCACATTCCTGTAGTTGGTCATTTGTGTAGGAATGAAAACATGTCTTGATGTTCATAGCAGTTACTTAAGCCATATCTACTTGATACCAAAATGACCCATCAATTGAGTAAATTTAGTGAGGAAAAAACCCAACTGATAGTTGGATAATAGAGAAAATACAAATGGCCAGCATCCTGAATTAATATCCAACAGTATCAGCTGGAGTGCATGGTTATGATGTGAAAAATACTGATCTCTCCTGAAAGATGGGAGGAACTGTTTAGTAGTGTGTGTGTTTTAAAATAGCCAACCCTGTCATTGTAGCACAGTTCATCATGGTTGTGTGGCTTTTTGGAGAGAGCAGAGTTAATTTAATAGGTTAAAAAAAGTAAAGTGGCATTCAACCCAGTATGTGAGAATCTTAGAATTTGGGGAATAGAAACCCCTCAGAAATAGATTGCCCAATGCCACCTTTGTCCAGGCATGGAACATTGAGACTGGAGCTAAGGGGGTTCTAAACTCTGCCTTTATTTGCTATTTCAGATCAAGTTTGGAGTTGTGAATTCTCCATGGCTCTACCAATTGTTTCTTAGTGGTAACATTGGTTTCACTACTGTGAGTTTCTGTAATTTGTACTGTGTAGTGGGGTATGAGGGTATATATGCTGTTATTTGTGCATGTAAATGTCTCTACATGTGCGTGTGCCTTTAGATACTTCATGTATGGAGCTGGAGTTTGAGTTATTGATCATTTTCCTTCGTCTGGTCTCTTCTGTGGCTATTTGCAAGGTGTTGGGTTGAATAAGAGGGTGTGAGTGGCCAAGGCACTAACAAAATCGAAGTGCTTCTTATAAGTCAGTCAATGCATGATACACTTTTATCTTTTTTTGATCCCCCTGCGAACCCAATGAACTACAAGGGTCACTATACTCAATTCATAGATGAGGAAGCAGATACGCAGATGTCTAAAAACTTGCTATCAAAGTAGCCAGTAATGGAGCTAGGTCTTAAACTTAAGTCTGCCTGGCTCAGAGGTCTTTTCTACACGTGTGTGTATACACACACACACACACACACAGAGTTTCAGATACAGCTCATTTTGTCAAGAATATGTAGACATCCAACAGTAATATTGAGGCTTGGTCTGCAATACTATCCTTGATCTTTAGAGTAGACAAGCATTGTTTTTAAACATATTTAAGAAAATGATATAAACCATGCCCACTCTTTTTTTTCTTGCTCTAGTGTCCAAATGAGCTGGCCTTCTAATTTCTGTTGCATTTAAATATGACTCAGTATGTCTCTCTTAATTTATTATTTTTGCAAAGAAAATATGGTAAACAATTTTTCAGGTTGTTATGCATTAGTTCTCTTGTAAATTGCAGTCTACATAGGTACCAGTGAAAACATGTCATTTTCAATTATTTTTATACCCAATCAAAGCAGAAGTTGATGTGGCCAAGCCTGACCTGTTAGCATTTAAAAATAATCCTATGAGTTTGGGCTTTTTTTTTTTTTTTTCAGCTTATCTTCAACTTTAATAAAATTTTTGTAGTTCATTGTT